AAAGCTTTTTAAAAAATATGTATTTTTATTGATTGCAGAGAGGAAGGCAGAGGGAGAGAAAAGACAGAAACATTAATGATGAGTGAGAATCATTGATTGACTGCCTCCTGCGCACTCACTCCTCCCCACTTGGAATCAAGCCTGCAACCTGTGCCCTGACCGGGAACCTGGGCATGACCTCCTGATTCATAGGTTGATACTCAACCACTGATCCACACTGTTTGGAATGATTGTTGTTTTTTAAGAAAGGGGAAAGGAGAGGGAGAGAGAGAGAGAGAGAGAGAGAGAGAGAGAGAGAGAGAGAGAGAGAGAGAGAGAGAGAGGGAACGCAACATCGATGTGAGAGCAAAAGTGGAACTTTGATTGGCTACTTCCTTCACACTGCCTACCAGGGATCCAGCCTGCAACTCAGGCAAGCCAGCAGCCTTCAAGCACATGGGGTGACCCCCAACCAACTGCCTTACTGGCCAGGGCAAGAGGGTATGCTTTTATTGACTTGTGAGAGAGAGGAAAGAGGGGAGGGAGATGGAGAAAGAGAGAGAGAAACATCAGTCGGTTGCTTCCTCCCATAGGACCCGCCCAGGGATCAAACCTGCAGCCCAGGTCTGTGCCCTGACCGGGAACTGAACCCGGAAACGTGTGGTTTCCAGGCAGTGCTCCCGCTCACTGAGCCGCCTGGCCAGGCGCCTGGAGGGTTTCAGGCTGGGAACTTGGGGCAGGTCCTGTGGGTTATCTCAGCAGGACACCCTCCGGCTTCATGCTGAGGCACCAGGATGGGGGGTGTTCCCCTGACTGCGGCTGCCCGTGGTGGGGCTGGCACCAAGGGCACAGACGGGCTCCGCTGTCGGCCGCCCTGCGGTGGGAGATTTAAGCTGTTTACCTCTGGCTGGGAGAAGTGTGAACCCTTTTCCTAAGCGTCCTTGCTTAGGAAGGCAGGACTTTGCAGTTACTAGATGGCTTAAACGGCTTGTGTGTAAACTGCTTGGCCGTTAGCTGTCTGCCTCAGTTTCTCTGTGCCGCCTGCCCTGGCCCGCCGCCTGCCTCAGTTTCTCTGTGCCGCCTGCCCTGGCCCGCTGGCCTGCCTCAGTTTCTCTGTGCCGCCTGCCCTGGCCTGCCGCCTGCCCTGGCCCGCCGCCTGCCTCAGTTTCTCTGTGCTGCCTGCCCTGGCCCGCCGCCTGCCTCAGTTTCTCTGTGCCGCCTGCCCTGGCCCGCCGCCTGCCTCAGTTTCTCTGTGCCGCCTGTCCTGGCCCGCCGCCTGCCTCAGTTTCTCTGTGCCGCCTGCCCTGGCCCGCCGCCTGCCTCAGTTTCTCTGTGCCGCCTGCCCTGGCCTGCCGCCTGCCCTGGCCCGCCGCCTGCCTCAGTTTCTCTGTGCCGCCTGCCCTGGCCCGCCGCCTGCCTCAGTTTCTCTGTGCCGCCTGCCCTGGCCTGCCGCCTGCCCTGGCCCGCCGCCTGCCTCAGTTTCTCTGTGCCGCCTGCCCTGCCTCAGAGACACAGAATGTGTGTGAGGCTCCCTCCGGACGCTCCCTGCTCGTGGTGGCTCCATGTCAGGTCACAGTGAGGTTCAGCCCCACTACAATCCCACGGAACGCGGCCGAGGATCGGGTTCCTCAGAGGCCGTGTCGGATGAAAAATAATATTGACTCGGTGTTTCATGGCCAAAAACGATTAATTTGGGGGGAAATAAAAAGTTGGGATAGACCCAGGACTAGGCCAGGAGCCTAGATAAACCAGTCAAAAGAGGAGCCCCAGCAGCCAGGAGGTTCTGGCCCCAGGCTTCTGCTTCCTCCCCAGGAGCCCAGGAGCCGGGGGCGGGTCCCAGCCAGAGGGGTCAGGGGTTGCCCGAGGGGAGACCCAGGGCTTCGGGCCCCAGGTCTGTCCCAGGTCCCTTCATGCATCACTCCTGTCGCAGCCCGCCCCCCTCCTGGGTCAGTCCTGGGACTATCCTGGGAGCCGTTCACCACTCTGCCTGCGCCAGTGAGAAGCCCTCACCAGCAGGGGCTCCATCCGGGTGCAGAGGGCCAGCGCAGCTCGCCCAGGCCTGCGAGTCTTCTGCCAAGTCTGGAGCTTTATGTCCCGCCTCCACAGGCAGGGCGCTACAATACCTCCCTCACAGCACGCCCTGGTCTGAAGGGAGCTTGAAATCTGGGGGTGCAGAGGCTGGGTTAACTTTTCCTCCCTCCCCAAACCCTCCACACACACACACACACACACACACACACACACGCACACACACCCTTTGGCACTATCTATGAAATACAGTTATACCTCTAGGGATTTCTCTGAAAGGGCCTCTTCCCCCAAGTGTACAAAGAAATGTGTGTACGTAAGAAGTTCATTCTGTGGACACCTGTGGGTTTAGTTCATAAGTGATGGTGCATTCATACAATGGGGAAAAGGGTTGCAACCATTGTGTGCAGACGTTACAAGCTGTGTGCACACTGCTCCGTGGGGAAGTGTATGCAGAGGGAGGAGGAAGTTGAGCGGAGGGACAGTTAGGCCAGAGAGCGTTGTCAGCACGCTTTCTTCTGCAGGGCTCTCAGTGAGGAGTGCAATACCGTATGTCTCCCAAGAGCCCTGGCCCCGCCCACACCCTGGTCCCGCCCACAACCCTGGCCCCGCCCACAGGCCCATGTTCCTGAGTCTCAATCATAGTATTTATCAACCCAAATGTCACTATGCGGCACATGACTGTATTCCCACCAGTAGACGGGCGTTTACCCTAAGAAAACGCCGTTCTCCCCCCTTTGTGACCGTGTTCTGTGCAACGTGATCTGTAACATCCAAACCTGCGAAGCAGCCAGAGGCCTGGCCTGGAGGAGCCCCCAGGCTCCACGTGGATCCAGGGGTGTCCGCGTGGCGCCAGCAGGGTGCGAGCGCAGAGCTCCGGAACAGGCAGCAGACCCTGGGCCGCTGATCTCTGTGGTGTGTGTGAAGGCTCAAAGGACAGGGACCTGAACAGATGGGAAAGATGCTGAGGTTACAGAAAAGGAAAAAGAGGGGACCTGGGACCTTTAAGTGACATAAATTCGCAGTTAGAGACACCGCGCTCCTGCGGACGAAGCCCCGGGGAGCGCCTGCGAGGCTGGCCAGGCCGACGGCTCCGCTGCTCTGGCTGCGGCTCTGGGGCGCTGGGTGCTTCAGAGCAGCCTCATGCACACGCAGCCCGCCCTCCTCTCAGGCCCGGTCTCCGCTCTCATTCCGGCTTGCTGCCGCAGTCACTCCAGAAGCAGCGCCTGTGGCGGAGCAGGAGGCCGGGGAGATTAGCGTCTTGTTTCCTGCAGTGAGAGAGGCTCTGGGTCACGGTCTGGAAGTCGGTGCAGAAAAGATGTGCTCTCCCCGCCCCCCTCTCCTTCCCCCCCCCCCCCCCAGCCCCTCAACAGGTCTTCCAGCTGAAGACTCTGCCCCCAGATGCAGATTTGGGGAAGGAAAGAGGGCTGCCATCTGAAACATGGGGGACTGGGGCGGCGACTGGTTAGGTCCCAACATCTCAGACTGACCCTCGGCAGTGCTGGCCGTGGTGGGCTGGCGGAGGGGAGGGCTAGAAGCTTCCTTGGAGCCGAGAAGACGGTGCTGTCTGTGCCCGGAACCCAGGAGGCCTTTCCCTGAGGAGCAGAGAGGGCAGCAGCAGCGGTCCGCAGGCACCTGCTCCCTTGCCTCGGGAGTGGCATCAGGGGATCCCACCTCTTGGACCACAGGGGCCTCCAGAGAGAGGCTTTCCCAAGGTGCCCTGGGTTTCCTGGGTCTGGCAGGGGGTCTGGGCCTGAGGAGAGGAGGGAGGTGGTTATAAATTAATGGAAGGAAATAAGATAAGAGTACAAACCGGCATTCCTGCAGGCGCCTGGAACGGTGAGGGAGAACAGCTCAGTGTCCCAGAAGCTGGGCTTGCTCTCCTAGCGGAGGAGTCCTAGAATTCAGGAATTAACGGCTCTGCAGACCGGCAACATGCCCCCCAAACCCCAGATCCCGCTGGTCTGGTCGGATGGTCTTACTTCCGCCTCGGCTGCTCTGTCTGTGGACCTCCTTGCTGGCAGTTGGGGGCTGTATTCTCTCCAGTTCTCACTGTGAATCTCCGAAGGCAGCCTCTGAAAATCTCAGAAAAAATACACATGTGATCTATGGCATGAAAATAGATTTGAAAAGCTGGGACTCTGAGAGCAGTTACACATGGGCTTTTAATGTTTTCAAGAAGCCCCCCAGCACCTCCCCATTCCCCGTGGGAGCCGCAGGGCTCCCTGGACCCTGGCACCGCTCCTAAGGAGTTGACTCAGAGGGCGAGGTGGGACGGGGGCGGGGAGTGGGGCGCCCCAGGACTCGCACTCCCCTCCTCTGTGATGGTGGGCATTCACATGTACCTTTCTGTTTTCTGTCTTCCCAGTTCCTGGCCCAGCTGATGGTGTTTCTGATCAGTTTCATCAGCTCCGTGTTCTGTGGCCACCTGGGGAAGCTGGAATTGGATGCTGTCACACTTGCCATTGCAGTACGTGTGGGACTGTTCTGACACGTCCGTGTTACTCGTGAAAGCCGTCTGTACGCGCTGCCTCTTGCTGTGCTTAGGCGTGACACAGCTTAGCCGCTTACTCCGCTGCGGTGTGCTGGCTCGCAGTGCTGCAGGTCAGAAGTCTGGAATGGGTGCCACTGAGCTCACTGAGTTCAGGCGTGGGCAGGGCTGCAGCCTTCCTTCTCCTTTGCCTACAACGTCACACATGCCCACTCTCTGCGGGTGGAGAGGGGACCTCTTTGAGGGGCCTTCGTTCTGTCTACCACACCAGCTTACTTGTAATCCATGGAGGTCTGGCTCCCATTCTTGGTCCCACATCTGGGGGAAGGGAATCGGAGAAGAAGGTTGAACGCTGGCTCCAGGAGACACTGTGTTCAGGGCCTGATTGGAGGCATGACGTCCCGAGAGCATGAGAGCATGCGTGGGAGCACTTTCTCCGGAGCCACGGCAAGGAGCTGGAGCTGGGACGGGTCGGTCGTGGTCCAACGTGCAAGCAGCTGAGGTCATGAGGATGGAGGTGTTCGGAGGCGCTCGCACCCTCTACTCAGGAGCCACGGACACCTGGAGGGCACGGACCAGAGCACCCCGGAGGAGGAGTTACAGGGCCTCTACTGCCAGCGGTTAAGGGTGGCATTTTGACAAACAAAAGGCAAGACCCTCCATCAACAAAAAGACTATGATTGGTTTATTGTAATAGCCGCTTTATTACAATGCCCTGGGACCAAACTGGCAATATCTCGGAGGTGTGCCTGTGTTAAAGAAAATAAAGCAGAGTGATGCCAGAGGAATGGCGGTGTGAGAGAAACCCTCTGGTTTCTTCCCTTAAAGTTTTAACAATTTGGACAACTGTAACTCAGCTTGGGATTCCCTGCTCAACGTACAGGCACAGCGGAGAGACCTTCATATGGCAGCATCTGAAGGTGGGCAAGTGGGAACAAACAGGGGAGGCAGGAGGGAGGAGGGCTCAGGCAAGCCGTGGATGCAGGGGAGGGGAGGAATCTGGTTGTGGCTGGTACTTACTTCAGCCGGGAGGAGCAGAGAGACTTGGTGAGCACTCCTGCAGAAGTGAGCAACATTGAGCTGCAGCTGAGCCCAGAGACCTGGGCAGGACACAGCCTTGAGCTGCTGCTGCAGTAGTCTGGCAGTTGGAATTCAAGGCAGAGAAACAAAGCCCCAGGAGTCCTGCCACCTGTAGACTCCCAGGACTCATCTCCCTTCAGCCTTGGTGTTGGGTTGTGGAGCACATTATTCACAAACCCGAGAACTGGTATGAAAGGGTCACTATTTCCCTGGTCCCTGGTTGGGGTTCACAGGGGCCTTGCAGAGGTCCAAGGTTGCCTTTACTGGGAGGTCAAAACAAAGAAGGCGGCTGGGTTCCCTCAGCCAAACCCATTTCCAAGCATCATGGCTATACCGATGGCAGCCAGAACCACTGCTGGGGTCAGCATTCTGATTTTACAGAGCTAAAGAACTCGTGATTTATTGCTACCTTCTAGAAAATTATAAAAAGACCTCTTCATAGTAATCAGCTAGAAGTGTCACTCATACATAGATGCCTAGAAAGAGAAGAAATCCAGCTAATATCATGAATAACCAGCTCAGAAACAAAATGAAAAATCCCCAGAAAACAAACTTAAACACATGAAAATATGTGATATAAGTGACAGAAAATTCAAGATTGCTGTTCTGAAAATACTTAATGAGATGCGAGAAAATACAGACAGGCAATTTAATGCATTCAGAAAACAAATTAAGAAACAAAACAAGTACTTTACCAAAGAAATTGAAACTTTATTAAATCACTAAACAAAATTTCTGTAGAGGAAGAACTCAATGAGAGAGTTTAATAGTGAACTAGTGAGCATAGGAAATAGAGCAGACCAGATGGAGGAAAGAATTAATCTAAGATGGAAATATTGAAGTGATGCAGAGGGAAGAAGAGAGAAACTTGAACTTAAAAAAATATATGAAAGAACTCCATGAGAACTATCTGACTCCAACAGAAAGAGCTATCTGAGAATAATAGGGCATACCAGGAGAAGAGGAGAGAAAAAAGGGAATGGCGAGCCTATTCAAACGAAGAGTAGATGAGAACTTTACAAACATATGGAAAGAAGTAAACAGAACACCTAGTTAACCCCAATCCGAAGAGGCCTTCTTCAAAGCACATTGAATTAAAACTGTCAAAAAGTAATGACTTTGCAAGACAGCCAGGGAAGAGAGGAAAGTAACCGATAAAGAAAATCTCATTAGGTTATCATTAGACTTCTCAGTAGAAATTCTACAAGCCAGAAGAGAGTGGAACCAAATATTCAAACGTCTGAAAGAGAGAAATTACCAGCCAAGAATAATAGCCAACAAAGTTATACTTTAAATATGAAGGCGAAATAAAGATTTTTCCAGACATACAGGAGCTGAGGGCTTTTACCACCAGAAGACCTCCATTGTAGGAAATACTCAAGGGCCATTCTACCTGAAACAAAGAACATAAGGTCACAACACTACAGGTGAGATCACCAAAAAACTTACAGCATCAACAAGGATAATTTGTGACAACAAAAACATAAAAGGAGAGAGGGAAGGTCTGAATTTGCAAAGGAAGATGAAGATCAGATGCTTTCAAAAGAAAAAGGACTACAGTATATACCCAACTTTAGATTTTGTAAATCTAACTAGAGGCCCACTGCACGAAATTCATGCACTGTGAGAGGGTGCAGGCCTCAGCTCAGCCTGCACCCTCTCGCAGTCTGGAAGCCATTAGGGAGTATCTGAGCAGGCCTAAGCTGGCAGTCAGACATCCTTAGTGCTGCCACAGAGGCAGGAGAGGCTCCAGCCACTGCTGTTGTACTCGCCAGCTGTGAGCCTGGCTTTTGGCTGAGTGGCACTCCCCTGTGGGAGCACACTGACCACCAAAGGGCAGCTCCTGCATTGAATGCCTGCCCTCTGGTGGTCAGTACACATCATAGCGACTGGTTATTCCTCCATTTGGTCAATTTGCATGTTAGCCTTTTATTATATAGGATGGTAACCACACACACACAAAGCTATATAATAAAAGGCTAATATGCAAATTGACCAAATGGAGGAATAACCAGTCGCTATGATGTGTACTGACCACCAGATGGTAACCACACACACACAAAGCAAAATGGAGAAACAGTGTAAAAAACAAAGAGAAAACAGAGGAGAGAAGTATGGAATAACACTAAACAAAAACAAAAGATAGAAACACAAAGGAAAACAACCAATGAAGGCACAGAGCTACCAGAAAACAGAAGATAAAATGGCTTAAGGAAATCCTCATACATTAACCATTACCCTAAAAGTCAATGGACTGAATTCACCATTAAAGAGGCACAGAGTAGCAGAGTGGATCAAAAAAACAAAACCCATCACCCAGCCAGCGTGGCTCAGTGGTTGAGTATTGAACCATGAACCAGGAGGTCACGGTTCGTTCCCAGTTAGAGCATGTGCCCAGGTTGCAGGCTTGATCCCCAGTGTGGAATGTACAGGAGGCAGCCGATCAGTGGTTCTCATCATTGATGTTTCTGTCTCTCTCTCTGTCTCTGAAATCAGTAAAAACATATTAAACACATACACACACAAAACCCGCCCATATGCTGCCTTCAGGAGACACAGCTAAACTACAAAGATAAAGGTAGATTCAAAGTGAAAGGGTGGAAAACGATTCTCCAAGCAAATCACAACCACAGAAAAGCAGATGTGGCCATACTTACATCTGATGAAATAGATGTCAAGATAACAAAGGTATCAAGAGACAAAGATGAAAATTTATAATGATAAAGGGGACATATGTCAAGAAGACAAAACACTTACCAATATATATGCACCCAACCAGGGAGCACCAAAATATATAGAGCAACTCCTAACAGAAGACATACAAAATGCCAACAGATAGGAAATTTTTTAACTTCACTAGCTATTAGGAAAATGCAAATCAAAACTGCAATGAGATACCATCTCTACCCCTATACACATCATTAAGACAGGTATTAACAAATTTTGGGAAGAATATGAAGAAAAACGAACCCTCATTCACTGCTGGTGGGAATGTGGACTGGTACAGCCACAATGGAAAACAGGCTGGTGCTTCCTCAAAAAATTAAGAAATTAAGAATAGAGTTAACATATGACCTAGCAATCCTCTCTTGGGTATTTACCTGAAGAACTTGAAAACATTTATTCACAAAGCTCTGTGTACCCCTATGCTCATTGCAGCATTATTCACAGTGGCCAAGGCATGGAGACAGCCAGTGTCCTTCCATGGAGGACTGGACAAGAAGATGTGGACGTATACGCTGTCGAATACTAGTCAGCCATAAGAAAAGACGAAATATTGCCATTTGTGACAACATGGATGGATCTTCAGAATATTATGCTAAGTGAATAAGTCAGTTAGAAAAGCTAAGAACCATATGATTTCACTCATGTGGGACAAACTGAAATTCATAGACATGGACGACAGTCTGGTGGTTACCAGAGGGAAGGGGGTGGTGGAGGTAAAGGGGCCACATATATGGTGACGGAAGATGATTTGACTTTGAGTGGTGGGCATACAATGTAACATACAGATCATGTATCATAGAAATGTACACCTGAAACACGTATGACCCTATTAACCAATGTCACCTCAATAAATGTGATTTAAAAAAAGAGGAAACCGAGACCTCTACTCCCATCCCAATGACTTGTCTGTCTTACTGAGAGTCCTGATCTAGAAATTAAACTGGTGCTCGCTTCGGCAGCACATATTCTATGATAAAATTAGAAATTAAACTGGAAAGTGAAACCCTGCATCCTATTATCGAACCTTAAAGTCAGAAAAAAAACCTAAATCCTCTCTGAATCTTAGATCAAACCAGAGAGAGATGTCCTTGGCCTCTGCCGGGTGAACTGGCTCGGCGTGGCCGAAGGGCCTGCTCCCAGCACCGCTCCTGCTCTCCGGCCTCCCCCACGCCCCTGGCTCTATGACAAGGCACACACAGCCTTCCCTGCCTGCGCCCTCCAGGCGGGTGAACTGTATCCGTGAACTTGGGGAGACCAGCACTCTGCACCAGTCCCCAGCACAAACGGAGTATTTGCTTTCAGGGAGCAAGTGGACAGCCGCAGGCTCCGTTTTCCTTTTTGGTTTTTGCTGTTTGGGAATTGGGGTAGAGGGGATAGAAATGTACTCAGCCAGCCTCCACCAGATTCTCTGGGTAAGGACGTGCAAGAAAGCTGGTGCTTTCAGGCTGGATGGGGTGGCTGCTGCCCGCACCTCCCCGCAGACTCTGGCGGAGGCAGCAGGTTCCAGACAGGCCTGCCAAGCCCCTCCCTGACTTGGGGCTGCAGCCATGGGCTCCCCAGAGTCCAGGAACCCCAGGCTTTGCCGACCTGGTCAGACCGGCACATGTGGGAGCCCCTGGCATTGGCCTTGACTTCAGAGACCGGCTCTGCATGCCAGAGTCCTTTGGGACATTGGAACAAGCCAGGCTTGGTTTTGAGCAAGTGGACTTACCCGCCTGGCGTCCTGCTAAGTGCCTGCCCTTAGGAAGGATCATACTCCTCTGAAATTAGGGAGCAAATGCTGAAGAGTAAAAAAGAACAAGGCTGAGGGTAGCCTCTGGTCTAGACTTCTCTGAGTGTGTGCCCGCCCTCTGTGCCCGCCCTCTGTGCCTGCCAGCGGACTCTGCAGGCGGAGGCCTGCAGCTCCCCGGAGGCCGGCCCAGCTCGCCCCTCCTGTCTCCCCGAACGCTGAGCAGCCTCTCCTTTGCATCTCTTTCCAGGTGATCAATGTCACTGGGATCTCCGTGGGATTTGGCTTATCTTCTGCTTGCGACACCCTCATGTCTCAGGTAAATGGAGCCCAGGCCCCTCTCTCAGTGACCCGGGCGTCTCCCTGGGCGTCTCCCTGAGCGTCTCCCGGGGTGCATCTGGAAGAGCCACGGGCAGGAAGGGTTGAGTGCTCAGAGCGACACATTCTGAATCCCTGGGGCCTGCTCCCCTCAGTGTGGCTGAGGCCCCTCGGCTGTGGGGGGCGTGCACCTCTGTGTGCCTCCTCAGACTGCGTTTTGACCGAAGAGGGGCATTCTATAGAAGTCCCTTCCGGCGCCTCCCACAGCATTAAGTGTGGTATGGCCCAGGTTCTCCACCGCCGTGCTCCTCAGACTCACGGGCTGTACAGCACCGGGTGGCGGCTCCCGGGGGCGGGTGGTAAACCCTGCAAGGCCGGCCTGGGTGGAGGAGTGCTCCTACCAGCCCCTGGCCAGGGTCCCGAGGAGGAGGCTGACCCTCTGCACACCCCCCCCCCCCCCGAGCTTGTTACAGAGGAGGCGCAGCTGGCAAGGCCTCTGTGCCCCCGGGGGGGGGGCGGGGGGGGGGCAGGCCGGGAGGAGAGGGCCGAGCAGCGGCCCGCCCGGCAGGGGAAAGACCTTGCATGTTGCCAGGGCAGGGCCTGGCATGTTCTAGGAGCCACACACTCTGGCCATGTACGGGGAGGGCCCATCAGACGTCCCTGTCTGTCCCAGAGCTCGCTGCGGCCTGGCAGTGCCAGGCAGTCACACAGGGCAGCGTCTCTCCACCTTCTACCTTGTGCCTCTCCCATGAGGTGCCCTGGGTGCCAGCAAGGGGCTTCATTGGCAGGGAGGCAGCTCGCCTAGTCACCAATTGCCCACGTTAGGGACAAAGTGCACAGCAACAACATAGGGTGCGAGAAAGAGAGAAACATTAAAGCAGGGATCCACGTATGAGAAACAACGTTTTCCATGATGATCCTCAGGATCTGAGCTGGGTGCGAGGTCACCTGACATGGGGCCGGGGCACTGAGGCGTTTACGTGAGCCTTCACATGTGTTAGAAAGAAGAAATACGAGCAGATTCATCTGGTATAAAAAAAACACCACTGGCCTGCTTGGCTCAGTGGATAGAGCATCAGCCTGTGGATTGAAGGGTCCCAGGTTTGATTCCAGTCAAAGGCACATGCCCAGGAGGCATCCAATCAATGATTCTCTCTCATCTTTAATGTTTCCATCTCTCTCCCCCTCTTCCTTTCTCTCTGAAATCAATAAAAACAACAACAGTAGCAAAACAAAAACAAAAATCAACACACCACACTCAGTCCCCCTCTGCCCCATAACGGTTGGCTGCCACAGAGCAGCCGAAGTCTAAGGTCAGCAGGGACTTGCGTTGGGAGGTCTTCCTCTGAGTGTGACGCTCGCAGCCGTGTCTTTGGATGGTGACGTAGCCATGGCAGTGGGAGCCTGGCCAGGCTGTGCGAACTCTACGTGTTGGCCCCGGGTGGTGCTTCCTGGCACGAGGGGGTAAAGAGGGGGAGGACTAGCCAGCCGGGACCCAGCCTCTCCCCTCTTTCGCAGGTGTGTGTGCCTGTCCACATGTGGCTGTCTCCATGGGCCCTCCTGCCTCAGGGTGACAGGGTCCCCAGGAGACTGAGAAGTTCCTCTCCACCCTGGTGCGCGCAGTAACTGACGCTCCGCACAGAACCCCATGGCAGATTCCATAAACGGTCCCTGTTCCAGGGACAGCAGTCTGTGTCCCATGAGCATGCCCTCTGGGCCAGGCAAGCCTTTGTGCTACCACTGCGCCCGGGCGTCCACACCTTCGCTGCATAGGCCGCTGGCTGGTCCCTGTGGGACAGCAGCAACCACACTTCGGTTATTTAAATGTAGTGAGGCCTGGGGCCCGGCCAGGTGGCTCAGTTGGTTAGAGCATCATCCTAATATGCCAAGGCTGCGGGTTCGATTCCCACTCAGGCACATATAAGAAGCAATCAGTGAATGCATAAATAAGTGGAACAAATCTCTTTCTCTTCCCCCTCCTCTCTCTCTAAAAAAAAACAAAACAACAACAACCAAAACAACAACAAAAGCCCATAAATGTTTAATGCCTGCAAAAGCACCCTTGTTCATCCAGCCAACGAGGTTTTCCAGCCTATAATTTTATCTGTTGTTCATCATTTTCCTGATTTCCCCGCCCACTGCCTGCTGGTCACAGGGGCGGTGGAACCTCCATTCAGGACCGTGTTCCGCTGGCCGTGCTTGCACGTCATGTCCTCCGAAAGGTGACCCCACCCTCACTCTCTGCGACGGGGTCCCCGTGCACAGATGGGACTTGGGCCGTCCTAGTCCCTTTGTGGGAGCAGCCTCACCAGCTGCCCTCCTGTCCAGACAGTAGGCTGCCCCTGCAGTGCTCCCGTTTGCTGTGCCGGCTGGCGGAGCTGCCAAGGCGTGTGCTTCCTGCCTGCCTGGAAGTGTAGACCCTGTGGGCAGGGGCGGGAAACGCTCAGCTCGGCCCCTGGCTTTGATGTGAGCCCCGATGTCTCCCCGCCTCTCCTGTCCCTATGTAGGCTTGCTCATTGCTGTCCCCGCCTCTGCCTCCCACTGTCAAAGCCACAGAGCGCTCCGTTTAGAACAGCCCAGCTGGCAGGGTCGGGGTCAGGGAGCAGACAAATGGCTTTTAGCTCAGCCCCCTGGCTGCTAAAAGTGATTTGTTCCTGCTTCCGTCCGGTAGTAGCAGTGGGCGGCGGAATGGCGGCCGCAGCCGGTAGACAGATGGTCCCGCTAGGGCCGTCAGTGCAGCCAGAACGTCCCTCCCTTCTTGCAGGTCACAGGCTGGCACAGGTGGGAGGGGCTTCCGGAGGCTCTGTTGCTCAGCAGGCGCAGTAGCCGCTGAGCCGTGGAGACGGGACTGTTTGCAGGCCCTCCCTGGGCGACGGCAGGCCGTGCAGTCAGCACAGAGCGTGACCCCTGGCAGGGCCGGGCGATGAACATGTGACCCGCTCCCTGATGGGAAGGGAAAGTCTTCTGACAACTGGTTTTCCATCAGGGAGTGTCTGCTCTCTGCCCTCTTCCACAGTTGGGACCCAAATCCAGGGCACTCTTTCTCTTTGCCATTTTTGCCACAATGCCCAGCTCATGCCTTCCAGGGTGACTAAAACATGTAATCCACATGGCACCACACCTGTGAGATTCCAAGAGCTAATCTGTTTGACTAGTGTTTTGTTTTTTGTTATTTTTCCGAAAGAGAGAGAGAGAGAGAGAGAGAGAGAGAGAGAGAGAGAGAGGGAGGGAGGAAGATGGGGAGAGAGGGAAGCATCCATGTGAGAGAAACATCAACCAGCTGCTTCCTGCACACCCCCTACTGGGGATTGAGGCTGCAACTTAGGCATGTGCCCTGACCGGGAATCGTACTGGCACCGGCCAGGGTCACCAGCGTTTTGCTTTCTCAAAGGCAGCCTGCTGTCTGCTCGCCAGGCCCATATATGTCCTTTCCTAACCAGGCAATAATGGGCGAAGGCATTACACTCAATGGGGACTAAAAAGTTCAGCAGTGCCCAGAACTCCAGGGAAAGACTGCACCTCTTTCACAGGTTTGGCTATGGGACAGGCCTGTACTTGGTCTGTGACAGCCTTGGGGACAGGCAGGTCTTAGCCAGTCATGCGACTTCATTCCTGGGCACTTCCCCCAGGGGCCTGCTGCCGAGGTGCCGGGAGCCTGCAGGGCCTCCCCGGCGGAGACGAACCCCCGCAGATAACTGTTCCGACATCGACATCGGCATGGCAGCCCACTCACCGCGGCTGGGGAGGAAAACGGCCACAGGTCCCAGGCCGCCATCATGGCCTGTGGTGAGCTCTGTGACAGGAGCACTGGAGGGTACACCCCGCATGGGAGACACGTCTCTTAACCGTGATGGTCACTGCGAGGGCATTGGGAGGGGCGGCTGCAACCCCTCGAGAGAGTGTCGGCACGCCCTGACGGCAGCGGGAGGGAGTCCAGGCGGCAGTAGGAGCCTGAGGACGCAGACAGAGGGAAATGGGGCTTGGCAGGGAGCCGAGAGGAACCAAGAGGCCACCTGGTCTCGCAAGGCCCCAGTGGTTTACCCACCTGGTTGCTCTGATTGGGGTGTAGCCTGTTGCCATGGTTACAAGGACCTCAAAGCCCAGTAGCGAGGGCTTGTTTTTGCAGAAACGGGATAGACTTCATCCCCCCGGGTCACAGTCTGATGCTCGGGTCAGTCCCTTCCATGTGGCCTCAGGTTTGTTGACAGACATCTTATGTCAGGAGAGCTCAGATTTCCAGCAATTTCACGATCATTTATACAACTACAACATAAAGAAGGCTCGACGTTATTTCTTATTTGACAATGTTTCCCGAGTATCTTCAGCATTCCAGGTAGGCCTGGTTTAATGTTGTTCTCTTATAAGGAGAGAAACAACCTCGAGGCATTCCAGGGGCTTCTGGAGCACTTCCCAGCTACGTCAAGAGAAAGACTGACTTTGCACCCGATTACCTGCATATGTAAATCCCATCCTTGATGAACTCGGCTGCCCACACGGAGTTCTGTTCTCATTATTACTTTGCACAAACCTTCTATATTTTCATATTCAGATTTTGTCTTGCTTTTCCTCTTTTCATTCTCAAACAACCAGCCTCACTTCAGGACAGACTTACTTTTCTTTCTCTCAAAAATGTATTTTCACGCCCTTTCCTTGTCTAACTGAAAGCATACAGTATCTTATTTCTTTTCACCTTAATTAGAACTATTAACCCGTAAATAATGCAAAAACATGTCTGTTCTACGTAAGTCAACAAACTTAAATTAGCTATAGTTTACTAAAGATTAATCTTCTCTGGTGAACTTGGAAAGCGTGACTTAGTTTCTGCATTTCTGGGGATTTTAGAGTAGCCAATCCTTATACATGCTTGTTTGTTTTTGAAGCCAATGAAACACGGCTCATTTACAAATTAGCAACACCAGCCAGAGGTAGAAAACACCACACGTGTAACACGTGTGTAGACACACATGCACACACAAACAGCTGCAGGCGGACCTGTGGCCTCCATAAAAGAAGTGGGATCTCGAGACCTTTCTCCCCCTCCCACCTTTACCCCAGTCCCGGTCTAACAGAGGTGTAGACAACATTCGATCATCTTTTTCTAGTTTCAGTTCATCCCCTCATTTTCTAACCCTGGCGCTCAGCCAGCCGCCCACCAGAGGGGCCAGCCCTCAGCCGTGGCTGTGCCGCCTTCCTCGCCGCGGCCTAGAGAGTGAGACCAGCCGCACTTCCAGGGCACCGGGCTCACACCTCAGTCTAGCATACTGGTTGCCCTCCCCCCCGGAGGTCCTGGCCACGGGATTTCCCCTGCGGAGGCCTCGTTCCCAGGCCCTTTGCTTGGGTCTCCAGGCGGAGAGAAACTGTCCTGGGCTGAGAGCCCAGAGGAAGGGCTGACAACGCCACATCACAGCGAGTTCGCTGAGGGAACTCACAGGGAGGAGCGCCTTGGGCAGTGGTGTGCCGTGGTATTCTCCCCCCACATGACAGGTTTACGTAAGGGGCTGGAGACACTGGGCAGGTGGAGAGCGGTACTTGGGGGTGACACCTGCCCCACCCAGATAAGGGCGAGTGCCTTGCGGACTTCCTGAGGCAGGGCCGCACCTGTCCCAGAGCCAGCCTGCCGATGTGATAGTCGTCCGGGTCCGGATTGTCAGGGAGCAGCGTGGGCCAGGCCAGCGGGTGGTGGGCGAGGCAGCAGTGGGCAGCGGGCAGGCCGTGTGCGGTCTCCACGGAGAGAAGCACTTTGACGTGTGCGTGGCTGATCCCGGTGGGGTAAGGAGCTCCCTCTCTGGCGAATCAGCCTCCCTCCCGTCACTGAACGGGCGGGGGAAGGGATGTGCAGTTTGGCGTGGGCAAGCCAGTAGCCGCTGGCCCCAGCCAGCACCGTCCCTTCCCCGGAGATCTGCTTAGAAGGCATGCGTGAGGCCCAATATATTGCATTTCTAACAAGTTTCTAGGTGATGCAACCCTAACTAGAAAGCAGTTATTTATTTATTTATTTTAAAAACATTTTTATTTATTTCTGAGAGGGAGGGAGGAGATGGACACATCAATGTTGAGAGAGAATTGTGAATCAGCTGCCTCCTGCATGTCTCACACTGGGAATCGAGTTCAAAACCCTGGGCATGTGCCCTGACAGGGAATCGAACCATGACCTCCTGGTTCATAGGGTGATGCTCAACCCCTGAGCCACACCAGCCGAGCAGAAAGCTTTTTAAAATTATGACATTTGGGCCTCACCCTGGACCGGTCAAGTCCAGACTAGGGGGCGTGGGCACTGATGGTTTGCTCTGGTTGTGTGTCCCCAGACATATGGCAGCCCCAACAAGAAGCACGTGGGGGTTATCCTGCAGCGGGGCGCGCTCATCCTGCTGCTGTGCTGCTTCCCCTGCTGGGCGCTCTTCCTCAACACCCAGCACATCCTGCTGCTGCTCCGGCAGGACCCCGCCGTGTCCAGGTGAGGCCCCTGGTAGGACCCCCGTGTCCAGGTGAGGCCCCCGGGCAGGGCCCCGTGTCCAGGTGAGGCCCCCGGGCAGGGCCCCGTGTCCAGGTGAGGCCCCCGGGCAGGGCCCTATGTCCAGGTAGGTCCCTCGGTCAGGGCCCCGTGTCCAGGTAGGTCCCTCGGGCAGGGCCCCGTGTCCAGGTGAGCCCCCGGGCAGGGCCCCGTGTCCAGGTGAGCCCCCGGGCAGGACCCCCGTGTCCAGGTGAGCCCCCGGGCAGGGCCCCGTGTCCAGGTGAGGCCCCCGGGCAGGGCCCCATGTCCAGGTGAGGCCCCCGGGCAGGGCCCCGTGTCCAGGTAGGTCCCTCGGGCAGGGCCCCGTGTCCAGGTAGGTCCCTAGGGCAGGGCCCGTGTCCAGGTGATCCCTCGGGCAGGGCCCCATGTCCAGGTGAGGCCCTCGAGCAGGGCCCCGTGTCCAGGTGAGGCCCCCAGGCAGGGCCCCCGTGTTCAGGTGACCCCACCCTCCGGGCAGGACCCCCGTGTCCAGGTGAGCCCCTGGGCAGGACCCCCGTGTCCAGGTGAGGCCCCCCGGGTAGGACTGGTTGTGTCCAGGTGAGGCGGCCGTACAGGGCAGGGGGCCATCCCAGCAGAAAGGTGCTCCCTTCCAGGTCTGGCCTCTGGAAGTGCCAAAGGCCAGGGCATGGCCCCACATGAGGTGGTGAGCTTCCCTCGGGTGATTCTGCCAGGCCTGGTGCTCCGCATGCCTGCGCCTGTGATGCAGAGCCCCTCACCTGGGGACGGCAAAGGCAGACCCTCTGGGGAGAAGTGAGATTTGGCAACCTCTCCAGGAGGGGTGGTCGCTGAAGGTGTTGGGTGGTGGTTTCGTGCTCATTGGCCCTGGTTGCTGAGTCGCCTCAGTGCTTTCAGAGCCCACCCCCTCCCTCACCACCCCCCCGCCCCCGCTCTGTCCTCATTGGCCGGGGCGGCCGGGGCGCAGTGTCTCCCAGGGGTCACCTAGACGACCCTCACATGCTGCCGAGCCTGAGACCCACCAGGGCAGCCCTTGTCTTAGGCCAGCGGCTCTGAGCCCGGGGCAGTCGGCAATGTGGGAGGCATTCTGTTATCGGAACTGGTGTGAAGGCATGGTGACTGGTAGAAGCCCAAGATCTACAAACCACAGGGAAGCGGCCACAGCAGACAAGTCAGCAGCCATAGAGCTGAGCTGGAGAGACGCGGCTGGGAAGGACCAGAGAGGCCTCAGGGTTATGCGATGGCAGTTCTGCTGTAAACTGCCCTCCTGCTCCAGCAGTTTAGTCCATTCATCCAGAAAGAGCCAGGACTGGTGACAGAGGGTTTTCCCTGAGCTGGAGACCTCACGGCTTTCCTTTCTGTTCCTTGTGCAGGCTCACCCACACCTACGTCATGATCTTCATCCCAGCCCTTCCGGTAAGTTTTCAGGAGTTCGGCTGTTTCTTCTCGGGTTCGCCGAGACACCCACGCCCCAATGAATCGGGTCTGGTAGCACCCGCACATGACCTACAGAAAGCGCGGTTTTAATTGTGCTCAGGAAAGACACAAACTCTGTCCCTCAAGGAAGCCCAGGCTCAGGTGCCTTCAGGGCACTGTCCTGGCTCCTGGAGCTGGAGGGACTCTGAGGTCAAGCAGCCAGGGAGCTGTCCCCCACCCCGGGCCAGCGGGTCGAGTGCACGCACAGGAGAGGGGCCGAACCCTGGCTCCGGACCCCCGCTCCCGCCCCCTCCCTGATGACAGCGCTGGTCCCGGAGGAGCAAAGGGCAGGAGAGCAGTGGCTCTCAGCTCTCTGCATGGCCAGGCCAGTGTGAACATCGTCTCTATCTTTCTCTTGTAGGCGACGTTTCTTTACACATTACAAGTTAAATATCTGCTCACCCAGGTAATGCCGGCTCTCCTCTTCCTCTGTGGGGCTGATAGGATTCACAGCTTTCAGGGCTGGGGGGCCGGGCCGGGAGCCGCCTGCCAGCACTGCCTACTCTCCCAGCGGCCGCTCCGGGTTCCTGCAGTGGCCGCGGCCTCTCCCTTGCGGGTCCTGCACTTCACTCTGTCTGCTTCCACCTCCCCAAAAGGCAGCTGGGCCCACTACCCCCGTGCTTACCCTAACAGGGTCTCCGGGAAATACGTGGCCCACGAAAACGGTTGGCCAAGCCTTTGTCCCGGCCTCTGAGCCCAAGACCACCGAGGCCACCAGACAAACGCACAGCCCGGCTGTCAGGTCTGTCAGCCGGAGCTTCCACAGATCGGAGGGGCCGTGGGCTCTCACCAAAGGGGGTGGAGCTCAGGGAGATCCCAGGGAAGCCAGCTCCGGGAGGTCAGAGCTAGAAGGTTGAGCGGAGAAATCGAGGGCAGGCTCCGAGGCCAGGCCTGCGCTCCGCCCGTGTCCCCTCTGTGGAACCCGCACTCAGGCCCGGTGGATGGCTGTGCGGGGCCCGTGGGGCGTCGCCCTGGGTGGGACATGGAGGCTGCTGTTTGGGTGACACTGACCTCAGCCCTCAGGCAGAGCGGGTGCTCCGTCTTCACTGACAGGGTTTCAGACAGCGAGGTTTTTCCAGGAGTGGGGCTCAGAGAACAGGTTTCCCGGAGATGAGAGAGGACTCAGGGGCGAGGTGACCCCGCGGTGGGGATGGTGTTCCCTGTTTCCTGCAAGTGGCTGCTCACTCCCTCAGCCCAGCACCACGTATCCCCCGCAGCAGGGCTTGGGTCTGAGATGCCAGACTGGATGGAGCTGCTGCTCCGTGCTCGTGAGCAGAGCCAGATGGGAGGGACGCATCCCTCACTCCTTTGCAGACCCCCTTGTGCTTGGGGAAGTGCTGCTCTCACCGCAGGCCCATGTGGGAAGCAGCGTGTGTGTATGATCAGTCCCTGCCGTGCTGGCACTGCTGCAGCGTCTCTTCTCTCCTCTCTGCGTCCCCCTCCTGCCCGGGCTCTCCGGCTCCGAGACGGGTGTGTGTGTGGAGGGCGGAGGCCAGCGCAGCAAGGAGGGCCCCAGGACGGCCTGCCTCCCTGTGGCAGCCCGGCCCCTGGTCCGGGCCTCCAGCAGGTGCGGTCTCTCCTCGCTCTAGGGAATCATCCTGCCCCAGATCCTCACCGGAGTTGCCGCCAACCTCGTCAACGTTCTCGTCAACTACCTGTTTCTCCATGAGCTGCATCTTGGGGTGATGTGAGTTCGCCAAGTCTTGGGCCAGGGAGAAGGCATGGCGGCGTGTGGCTCCTCCAAGGCCGGGGGCAGTGAGACTTCCTGGCCGTGTCCACGTGGTCCCTCCTCGGGCACTGAAAACGGTCCGGCCGGGCGGAGGAGAGCGGTGCTCTGGGAGGATGGCCGCAGGGCCGGCCGCAGCCGCCCCAGGCGGGGGGCACCTCCCGCTGCGGGAGGCTGGGAGGGCGGAGAGCGCACCCCTCACGGACGGCTCTTCCAGGGGCTCGGCACTGGCCAACCTGATGGCCCAGTTTTCCCTGGCTCTGTTCCTCTTCCTCTACATCTTCTGGAGGAAACTGCATCGAGCCACTTGGGGAGGTAAAGGCCGTCTTCCGTTTTCCACCTCGGACACGGGCTCCGCCTCGGGTGAGCTCCGGGCGGTGCCCGCTGTGTGGTAATGGTGTGTCCCCTCAGGCTGGTCGCTGGAGTGCCTGCAGGACTGGGGCTCCTTCTTCCGCCTGGCCATCCCCAGCATGCTCATGCTGTGCATGGAGTGGTGGGCCTACGAGATTGGCAGCTTCCTGAGCGGTCAGTGCGGGGGAGGGGTGGCTGGGGGAGGGGGGCAGCTGGGGGAGGGGAGGGCGGCAGGGGGAGGGGAGAGGCAGGAGGGGGAGGGGAGGGGCGGCTGGGGAAGGGGAGGGGCAGGAGGGGGAGGGGAGGGGGCGGCGGGGGGAGGGGAGGGCGGGTGGGGGAGGGGAGGGGCGGGAGGGGGAGGGGAGAGGCAGGAGGGGAGGGAGGGGCGGCTGGGGGAGGGGAGGGGCAGGAGGGGGAGGGGAGGGGCGGGTGGGGGAGGGGAGGGGCAGGAGGCGGAGGGGAGGGGCGGCTGGGGGAGGGGAGGGGCAGGAGGGGGAGGGGAGGGGCGGGAGGGGGAGGGGAGGGGGAGGGGGGCAGCTGGGGGAGGGGAGGGGCGGCTGGGGGAGGGGAGAGGCAGGAGGGGGAGGGGAGGGGCGGCTGGGGGAGGGGAGGGGCGGCTGGGGGAGGGGAGAGGCAGGAGGGGGAGGGGAGGGGGCGGCGGGGGGAGGGGAGGGGCGGCTGGGGGAGGGGAGAGGCAGGAGGGGAGGGGAGGGGGCGGCTGGGGGAGGGGAGGGGGCGGCTGGGGGAGGGGAGGGACAGGAGGGGGAGGGGAGGGGCGGGAGGGGGAGGGGGCTTGCCCAGAAGCGTGCACAGTGGCTCTCTCCGCAGGGATCCTCGGCATGGTGGAGCTGGGGGCCCAGTCCATCGTGTATGAGCTGGCCACGATAGTGTTCATGGTGAGTGTCTGAGCTGCTGTGCGGAGGTGCTAAGTGTGCCTATTCATAACATTCAATCCTTCAGACTCCTATCCCAGAGCTGAGAGGATCCTTTTGGTTAGGTGGGTCTTCCTGTGGGCTCACTGGCAGGGGGTGGGCAGGTCTTCCTGTGGGCTCACTGGTGGGGTGTGGGGGGTGGGTCTTCCTGTGGGCTCACTGGTGGGGGTGGGGGGTGGGTCTTCCTGTGGGCTCACTGGTGGGGGTGGGGGTGGGTCTTCCTGTGGGCTCACTGATGGGGGTGGAATCTTCCTGTGGGCTCACTGTGGGGTTGGGTTTTCCTGTGGGCTCAGCTGGTGGGAGTGGGGGGGTGGGGTTCTTCCTGTGGGCCTCACTTGATGGTGGGGGTGGAGTCTTCCTGTGGGCTCACTGGTGGGGGTGGGCGTCTTCCTGTGGGCTCACTGGTGGGGGGTGGTGGGGTCTTCCTGTGGGCTCACTGGTGGGGGTGGGGTGGGTCTTCCTGTGGGCTCACTGGTGGGGGGGGGGGGGTGGGTCTTCCTGTGGGCTCACTGGTGGGGGTGTGGTCTTCCTGTGGGCTCACTGGTGGGGGGTGGGTGGTCTTCGTGGGGGGGGGTGGGTGGGTCTTCCTGTGGGCTCACTGGTGGGGGTGGGGGTGGGTCTTCCTGTGGGCTCACTGGTGGGGGTGGGGGTGGGGTCTTCCTGTGGGCTCACTGGTGGGGGTGGGTCTTCCTGTGGGCTCACTGGTGGGGGTGGGGTCTTCCTGTGGGCTCACTGGTGGGGGTGGGGTCTTCCTGTGGGGTCCACTGGTGGGGGGGGGGGGGTCTTCCTGTGGGCTCACTGGTGGGGGTGGGTCTTCCTGTGGGCTCATTGGCAGGGGGTGGGCGGGTCTTCCTGTGGGCTCAACTGGTGGGGTGTGTTGGGTCTTCCTGTGGGCTCATTGGTGGGAGTGGGGGGTGGGTCTTCCTGTGGGCTCACTGGCAGGGGGTGGGGGTGGTCTTCCTGTGGGCTCACTGGGGGTGGGGGTGGGTCTTCCTGTGGGCTCACTGGTGGGGGGGGGGGGTGGGTCTTCCTGTGGGCTCACTGGTGGGGTGGGGGTGGGTTCTTCCTGTGGGCTCACTGGTGGGGTGGGGTGGGTATTCCTGTGGGTCACTGGTGGGGTTGGGGGTGGTCTTCCTGTGGGCTCACTGGTGGGGTGGGTCTTCCTGTGGGCTAACTGGTGGGGGTGGGTGGTGGGTCTTCCTGTGGGCTCACTGGTGGGGGTGGGGTCTTCCTATGGGCTCACTGGTGGGGGTGGGTCTTCCTGTGGGTCTCACTGGTGGGGGTGGGGTCTTCCTGTGGCTCACTGGTGGGGGTGGGGTCTTCCTGTGGCTCACTGGTGGGGGTGGGGGTGGGTCTTCCTGTGGGCTCACTGATGGGGGTGGGGGTGGGGTCTTCCTGTGGGCTCACTGATGGGGGTGGGGGTGGGGTCTTCCTGTGGGCTCACTGGTGGGGGTGGGTCTTCCTGTGGGCTCACTGATGGGGGTGGGGTCTTCCTGTGGGATCACTGATGGGGGTGGCGGTGGGGTCTTCCTGTGGGCTCACTGATGGGGGTGGGGGTGGGGTCTTCCTGTGGGCTCACTGGTGGGGGTGGGGTCTTCCTGTGGGCTCACTGGTGGGGGTGGGTCTTCCTGTGGGCTCACTGGTGGGGGTGGGGGTGGGTCTTCCTGTGGGCTCACTGGTGGGGGTGGGTCTTCCTGTGGGCTCACTGGTGGGGGGGTGGGGGGTGGGTCTTCCTGTGGGCTCACTGGTGGGGGTGGGGGTGGGGTCTTCCTGTGGGCTCACTGGTGGGGGTGGGGGTGGGTCTTCCTGTGGGCTCACTGGTGGGGGTGGGGTCTTCCTGTGGGCTCACTGATGGGGGTGGGGGTGGGTCTTCCTGTTGGCTCACTGGTGGGGGTGGGGGTGGGTCTTCCTGTGGGCTCACTGGTGGGGGTAGGGGGTGGGTTTTCCTGTGGGCTCACTGGTGGGGGTTGGTCTTCCTGTGGGCTCACTGGTGGGAGTGGGGGGTGGGTCTTCCTGTGGGCTCACTGGTGGGGGCGGGTCTTCCTGTGGGCTCACTGATGGGGGTGGGGGTGGGGTCTTCCTGTGGGCTCACTGGTGGGGGTGGGTCTTCCTGTGGGCTCACTGATGGGGGTGGGGGTGGGTCTTCCTGTGGGATCACTGGTGGGAGTGGGGGGTGGGTCTTCCTGTGGGCTCACTGGTGGGGGTGGGGGTGGGGTCTTCCTGTGGGCTCACTGATGGGGGTGGGGGGGGGGGCTTCCTGTGGGCTCACTGGTGGGGGTGGGTCTTCCTGTGGGCTCACTGATGGGGGTGGGGGTGGGTCTTCCTGTGGGCTCACTGGTGGGGGTGGGTCTTCCTGTGGGCTCACTAATGGGGGTAGGGGGTGGGGTCTTCCTGTGGGCTCACTGGCAGGGGGTGTGGGGAGGCTCTTACTGATGTGTCCACTGCTGGACTTCCATCCGCCAACACAGTCCCCGTCTGAAAGATCTCATTTGATTGCCAGACGTGCCAAATAGTTGTCACAACACGAATGCCTTGAGGTCAGGCCATGTTCCCCTTCTCTTTCCTCTCTTTCCTTCCTTCCTTCCTTCCTTCCTTCCTTCCTCCCTCCCTCCCTCCCTCCCTCGCTCCCTCCCTCCCTCTCTCCCTTCCATCCTCTTTCTTCCTTTCTCTCTCTCTCTCTCTCTCTCTGCCTTTCTTTCTCCTCAGCTCTAAGGGCCCTTCTTTTGCCTCTACAGCTTGTTTCCCGAGCCCACACTGCCCAGCTGCTCACTCCTCCGCCCTTGATGACTTTCTAAACAAGCTTTCTCTTACAATTTGAGTTCCTTGGCTCTGAATCCTTTCCCAGCCAGACTCAAGAACTGAGGTGCTTCACCAAGGTCTAACACTTGGTGGCCTTAGCCGTTACCAGATCTGTCCCATTGGTGGTGGTAACTGGCTATTGGTGAGAGCACTGCCTGCCGGTTTCCACCACCAAGCCACACCTTCGCGCTGTGGTGACAAAGAAGCTGTGGGGAGGCCCTGGGTCTGCCCTCACAGGCCTGGTCTCCCATCTCTTTTACACGCTCTGCTCTGTCAGCTTCTATAGCCTGATCTCCAGGCAAAATCCTTGCTTAAATGAGTGATAAATATTTTGCCTTAATTAATACTTAATCTCTCAAGTGGTAAATTTATAGATAATAGGTGCACTGGTGGGGTCCCTTGGCCTGACTGTGCCCTCTCGCAATCTGGGACCCCTTGGGGGATGTTAGAGACCTAGTTTCAGCCTGACCCCCGCAGGCCACGCCGAGGGACCCCTCTGGTGCACGAATCTGTGCACCAGGCCTCGAATATGTACGTAACAATGGCTATTTTTTGCTGAATAATTGCTGTGTTTGAGGCCCTGTTCTAAGTAGTTAGCATGATGGACTCATTTAATCCCAACATAACCCTAACCTGCATGTCCTCTTCTGAGGTCTCTATCACAGAGAACTGAGGTCTAGTGGGGCAGGTGCCTGGACGGGGACCTGAACCCGGGCCGTCTGGCTTCAGAGTCCCTGTTCCTAAGCACAGGCCACGCCGCTGTCCTCTGTCTCGCTGGCACCACTCTGCCCACACAGAGGCGGCACTGCTCTGGGCTTGGTCTGGGTCTCTGCTTTCCTATGCTCTTTTTATCCAGCATTTGCAGGGGAGGGGTCACCATTTTAGGATTCTGTTTTCTGAACCCTTGAGGGTCTTTCAGAACAGACCTGTCTGGGCTCTCGGAATCCATCCCTCCACCCCCAATGGCGGAAGTGACGGTGCAGCCCTCCGGGTGCTCAGGCTGGAAGCTCTGTCAAAAGCCAGGCTTATGGCAAGGACCACAGCCCAGGGCTCCAGGCCCCTTGTTAGACACAAGGATGCTGCCAACTACCCAAGTAGAACAGCCCAAGTTCTACCCACAAGGTGATGGGAAGGTGCAGAGCGAGGCCCCGGAGCTGGAGGCATGGCTGGTTCCCGCTCTCACGGTTCCCTTCTCCTCGTAGATACCCACGGGCTTCAGCGTGGCTGCCAGCGTCCGCATTGGGAATGCGCTGGGCGCGGGAGACATCGAGCAGGCCAGGCGGTGCTCCCTGGTCTCCGTGCTGGTCACAGGTGCTCGCTTCCCCGCCCGGATGCCCCTGAGCGTCTGCCGGGCCGCAGGCGCCCGGCCGGCGGCCTCCTGTCTCACCAGCTTTCTCTCCTTCGCCTCCAGAGCTCTTTGCGGTAGCCTTCTGCGTCCTGCTGCTGAGCTGTAAGGACCTGGTGGGGTACATTTTCACTACCGACCGGTGAGTGCCAGATGAGAAACCTGCGGTAGGGACGCGCTGGCAGAGGGTTCCCGTGGGGCCTCCTGAGGGTCCCGTTTGCAGCATCAGCAGCTCAGATGCTCCCGGGAGACTGTGGGCGGGCGGGTGGGCAGGCGGGCGGGCGGGCGAGGAACCCGGTTCCTGGCATCGGTGGTGGCATTGCTCTGGTGCTCAGGATACACGTGCGTTTTAAAGGAGGAAACTCCTTTTGGGTCCCCTGGGTGACCTTTTCAGTTAAGTATTTTGTTCCAATGACAAAATCATAGCGACATCTCAGAATTTGCTCCTGGTTTGCAGTATTTACATAACCCGCCTGCCACACGGGATGGAAGGTAAAGTCGCCCCTGTGGGCTGCCTGTCCAAGTTCATCGTCTGACTGATTGCTGAGGCAGAAGCCTAACCCCGATGAGTGCCCCCGTGGCCGCAGCTGTGTGCCGGCTGCTGCCTTCAGCAGGGAGCCAGCCAGGCAGTTCTCTGTGGATAGACGTGGGGCCACCTCTTACCTGGGACTTTTTATCAGCAATTACAACATGCAAACCCACTCCCATCAGGAGGCAAAAAGCAGGGGGAGGGCAGGACCAAGCTTCGCGCTGTTCTCCAGCCTGAGGCTGTCAGCTTGGTCTCAGCCACTCCGCGGTGGGAGGCGAGGCTGTTGGCTGTCGCCCCGTCAGCAGGAGCGGGAAGCAGCCACAGCACCTTCGTTCCCTCCAGAGGGACCAGAAGCCCTTTGTCAGATGTGCTCGCTGTGCTGTGGCTTCAGTGGGAAAGCGGGCCTTTGGTTCGGGGTCCGTCCCCTCCCGGAAACCAAACAGAGCAGGAGACAGAGTAAGCAAAAGGCTCCCAGATGATGTGTTGGATGAGAAGAGAAGACGCCATTTGGAAACGTGCAGACAGCCTGCAGGATGACCGGTCGCTGAGCCTGGCGGAGGCACTCACAGAGGTCCCGGCAGTGACACACCGGACCTGATCGGAGAGGGAGTGCGACCCCCGCCCAAAGTCAGGGAACACCGCAGTCATGTTCAAAGCACAGGCCACTAGTGTGCATAACGTGTGCGCGTAAATTTAAAAATCTGGAAGGAAAAGATAATTTTCCTGGAAAATAATTTACCAGAACTTGCCCTAGACAATATAGAAGGTCTAAAAAGATGGCTTTCTTTAGAAGAAATAGGAAAAAATTGTTTTAAATCTCAAAATCACCAACCCTAGAGGGTGCCAGAGGAGGGTTTTGTAACCTTAAAGCTTAGATAAGGCAACGCTGTCTGGGCGTTCTGGGAGGCAGACCCAGCGAAAGCCCACCTCCTGCTCCCGAGCGCCTGGCAGCTGGCACCGAGCCCTGAGCGGGCAGCGCGGAGCACAAGGCCCCGCACGGCCCCTGATTAGCACGGGCTTCAAGCCCAGGACACATTTCGGGTAAAATTCACAGCGCCTTACAGACAATGTGTTTTGATGGAATATAAAATGGCATGGGATGTGTTAGGTGGAAAATAAAAGTGCAGAGCATCTGTAGCGAATGCTACAATATGGAGTAGTAGAGTCTAGAAGGGGAAAATAAGAATAGATATTTGTATTTCCTATTTTTCATAAACACTGAACCAATACAGACAATGCTGGAACTGTTATCGGTTGCGGGGCGGTGGGGTCAGGATGAGGGTGGAGGTCAGGACAAGGGTGGGGGTCAAGACAAGGGTCGGGGTCAGGACAGGGGTGGGAGGTCAGGGAGGGGGAGGGGGGTCAGACTGGGGGAGGGGGGTCAGGGTGAGGGTGGGGGCTCAGGGCCGGGGAGGGGGTCAAGCTGGGGGTGGAGGGTCAGGGCGGGGGGTGGGGGTCAGGACAGGGGTCAGGGCAGGGGAGGGGGGTCAGGCTGGGGGTGGAGGGTCAGGGCGGGGGTAGGGGTCAGGACAGGGTCAGGGCGGGGGAGGGGGGTCAGGCTGGGGGTGGGGGGTGAGAACAGGAGGGGGTTAGGACGGGGACAGGAGTGGAAGGGAGACTTCTGTTTCCTTTTCATGTTGTTGATTTCTCTCAGCCATTTGAGCACATTACCAACTCAAAAGATACAATCAACTTTGAATAAAATAACTATTTTTCTCCTTTATTGGGGAGGTATCCTCTGGTTCAAAGCTGGGTTTCTTATTGATTCTCTAACAGCTGCTCCCCGCCAGCCAGGGTCCTGATTCCTGTGAGCTGCTGAGAGGCGGGCGGGCGCTCCGGCCGGTCTCCCCGCTCTCGGCTGTGGGCTGGGCCCGCGGGGTCACGGGCAGCCCCGTGGACGGTCTGTTTGCCACTGTCCAGCCGGGCCGGGTCGGAGAGAACCTGGCTCTCAGTGCGCTTCCCCGGGGCAGACGGAGCCGTGCCGGATCGCTGTGTCCTGACCCAGGGACTCCGGTTTCTCCTAAAGCGCCAGACGCATCGAGCCGGCACTCCGGGCCCAGAAGCCCGGGGCCCGCGCAGGGCGAGCTGCCCGCGGCTCTGACCCCCTCCTTCCCCAGGAGATCCCGGCCCTGACCCCCTCCTTCCCCAGGAGATCCCGGCTCTGACCCCCTCCTTCCCCAGGAGATCCCGGCCCTGACCCCCTCCTTCCCCAGGAGATCCCGGCCCTGACCCCCTCCTTCCCCAGGAGATCCCGGCCCTGACCCCCTCCTTCCCAGGGAGATCCCGGCCCTGACCCCCTCCTTCCCCAGGAGATCCCGACCCTGACCCCCTCCCTCCCCAGGAGATCCCGGCCCTGACCCCCTCCTTCCCAGGGAGATCCCGGCCCTGACCCCCTCCTTCCCCAGGAGATCCCGGCCCTGACCCCCTCCTTCCTCTAGGAGATCCCGGCCCTGACCCCCTCCTTCCCCAGAGATCCCGGCCCTGACCCCCTCCTTCCCCAGGAGATCCCAGCCCTGACCCCCTCCTTCCCCAGTGAGATCCCGGCCCTGACCCCCTCCTTCCCAGGGAGATCCCGGCCCTGACCCCTTCCTTCCCCAGTGAGATCCCGGCCCTGACCCCCTCCTTCCCCAGGAGATCCCGGCCCTGACCCCCTCCTTCCCCTGGAGATCCCGGCCCTGACCCCCTCCTTCCCCAGGGAGATCCTGGCTCTGGTGGCGCGTGTGGTGCCGCTGTACGCCGTGTCCCACCTCTTTGAGGGCCTCGCGGTGAGTACGCACCTCCGGGGGTGGGGGGGGGCTCATACCGGTGTCCCCCGCAGTGCAGGGGGGGCTCATACCGGTGTCCCCCGCAGTGCAGGGGGGGCTCATACCGGTGTCCCCCGCAGTGCAGGGGGGGCTCATACCGGTGTCCCCCGCAGTGCGTAGGGGGGGCTCATACCGGTGTCCCCCGCAGTGCAGGGGGGGCTCATACCGGTGTCCCCCGCATGTGAGGGGGGGGGGCTCATACGGTGTCCCCGCAGTGCAGGGGGGGGCTCATACCGGTGTCCCCCGCAGTGCAGGGGGGGCTCATACCGGTGTCCCCCCGCAGTGCAGGGGGGGCTCATACCGGTGGTCCCCCGCAGTGCAGGGGGGGGGCTCATACCGGTGTCCTCCCGCAGTGCAGGGGGGGCTCATACCGGTGTCTCCCGCAGTGCAGGGGGGGGGCTCATACCGGTGTCCCCCGCAGTGCAGGGGGGGGCTCATACCGGTGTCCCCCGCAGTGCAGGGGGGGGCTCATACGGTGTCCCCCGCAGTGCAGGGGGGGGCTCATACCGGTGTCCCCCGCAGTGCAGGGGGGGGCTCATACCGGTTGTCTCCCGCAGTGCAGGGGGGTGCTCTAACGGTGTCTCCGCAGTGCAGGGGGGGCTCATACCGGTGTCCCCCGCAGTGCAGGGGGGGGGCTCATACCGGTGTCCCCCGCAGTGCAGGGGGGGCTCATACCGGTGTCCCCCGCAGTGCAGGGGGGGGGGGCTCATACCGGTGTCCCCCGCAGTGCAGGGGGGGCTCATACCGGTGTCCCCCGCAGTGCAGGGGGGGCTCATACCGGTGTCTCCCGCAGTGCAGGGGGGGCTCATACCGGTGTCCCCCGCAGTGCAGGGGGGGGGCTCATACCGGTGTCCCCCGCAGTGCAGGGGGGGGGGGCTCATACCGGTGTCCCCCGCAGTGGAGGGGGGGCTCATACCGGTGTCCCCCGCAGTGCAGGGGGGGGCTCATACCGGTGTCTCCCGCAGTGCAGGGGGGGCTCATACCGGTGTCCCCCGCAGTGCAGGGGGGGGCTCATACCGGTGTCCCCCGCAGTGCAGGGGGGGGGGGCTCATACCGGTGTCCCCCGCAGTGCAGGGGGGGGGCTCATACCGGTGTCCCCCGCAGTGCACGGGCGGCGGCATCCTGCGCGGCAGCGGGAACCAGAAGGTGGGCGCCATCCTCAACGCCGTGGGCTACTACGTGATCGGCCTCCCCGTGGGCATCTCCCTGATGTTCGCCACCAGCCTGGGCGTGGTCGGTGAGCTCCGGGGCGGGGAGGCGCGGGGGCGGGATGCGGGGGAGGGGGGGAGACGCTGGGGGTGGGGGGGCGGAGTATGTGTGCTTCCATGAGTCCATTGTGGGAGTGACAGTCACCGCTTTATTCAAAATACCAGAATGACGGCACTTTGCCTGAATCTGGCACCTCCCCGTATCCATGAGCCCAGCCTGGCCACCTTCCTTTATCCGGATTCAAAACAGCCAGAGACCAACCAGATGGACACGCAGAGGCTGCTCCTTCAGAGCGCGCTCTGCACAGCCAGCCGCTGCCCCGTGTGGCAGACTCACCGGCGGGCGGCGCGGCGGGGAGGGCGCTGCGGGGACGGAGCGAAGGCCCGCTGTGCCCGGCGGAGGCTGCTGGCCTGGACGCTGGAGCCTCCCACTGGAAGCGGGGCGTCTGCACTCCGTCAGGGTGCATGCCCGGTTTTCTCTGGCTGGTCCTAGGTAGGAAGTAGGGACAGGATTCAGGGAAGCTGCCAGTTATTGGTCAAATCCTGGTCATTTGCATCAATTGGACAGAAGTTATTATTTTGCTTCCGAGACTGTCCCTAGCAATAGCCATGCGGCCTCGCACGGGCCTGGGCAGAGCAGCGGCTCCTGGGTGTTATTGCGGACACGGGTTGGTTTAAGACCGGCTGCTTTAGGCTGGCGCCAAAGTTCTGTTTTCTCATGTGGTTTGACCTCTGCTGTTTTTTCGAGTTTCTGATGTCATTGGTTCACTGTTGACCAAAAACCTTCATCCCTAGGGTCTCCCCTAGCTCTGTGCGGGTTATGGGGTGGAGCAGGGATGACACTTGGGGATCTACAGGCTTTTCCCATCCTCCATCCTCACTCAGAGGCCCTGCCCCAGGGCTGCGATTCAGCGCCTGAGTGAGTGAGGGTCAGAGGGAGCACCAGGGGGAGAGAGAGAGCGAGTGAGGGTCAGAGGGAGCACCAGGGGGAGAGAGAGAGCGAGTGAGGGTCAGAGAGAGCACCCAGGGGGAGAGAGAGAGCGAGTGAGGGTCAGAGAGAGCACCCAGGGGGAGAGAGCGAGTGAGGGTCAGAGGGAGCGCCCAGGGGGAGAGAGAGAGCGAGTGAGGGTGAGAGGGAGCACCAGGGGGAGAGAGAGAGCGAGTGAGGGTCAGAGGGAGCACCCAGGGGGAGAGAGAGAGTGAGTGAGGGTCAGAGGGAGCGCCCGGGGGAGAGAGAGCGGCTGCACGTTAGGCCGCTGTGGACTGTGGCGGCTGCTTAGTTAAAGCGCCAGTTCCTTTTTCCAGTAAAAGGGGGCCCCGTCATCCGGCAGTGCTGTTAGAGACAGGGTGTTGTTTGTCCAGGAAATTCCCTTTCCTTGTAACTGTCACTTTTCTGATATGATTTGGAACATTTGTTCTGAGACCCAAAACTCCAGGAAGTATCCCAGGGAGCCCCGGGCCTCCTGGAACCTTCTGGAAACCGAAGGAGAGAGGCTCTGGCTCAGTCTCTCCGTGAAAGCAGATGCTGAGCCGGAGACACGAGAACACGCTCCGCAGGTGCTGGTTTCTCCCAGTTAACTCCGGTGCCCGCTCCCCAGGTCTGTGGGCGGGCATCATCCTCTGCACCGTCTGCCAGGCCGCCTGCTTCCTGGGCTTCATCTCAAGGCTCAACTGGGGGAAAGCCTGTCGCCAGGTAATGCTCTTGCACCCCCTCCCTGCTCCCCCACCTCCTCCCTGCTCCCTGCTCCCCTGCTCCCCACACCCCACCCCTGCTCCCCCACCCCTCCCTGCTCCCCACACCCCCTCCCTGCTCCCCCACCTCCTCCCTGCTCCCTGCTCCCGCTCCCTGCTCCCCTGCTCCCCCACCCCCTCCCTGCTCCCCGCGCCTCCTCCCTGCTCCCCCACCTCCTCCCTGCTCCCCGCGCCCCCTCCCTGCTCCCCCACCTCCTCCCTGCTCCCTGCTCCCGCTCCCTGCTCCCCTGCTCCCCACACCCCACCCCTGCTCCCCGCGCCCCCTCCCTGCTCCCCCACCTCCTCCCTGCTCCCCGCGCCCCCTCCCTGCTCCCCCACCTCCTCCCTGCTCCCCCACCTCCTCCCTGCTCCCTGCTCCCGCTCCCTGCTCCCCTGCTCCCCTCACCCCACCCCTGCTCCTCAGCCCCCTCCCTGCTCCCCTCTCTCCCTCCCTTCTTCCCTGTCCCCCCTTTTCTCTCTCCTCTCCCTGCTCCCCCCTTTCCTCTCGCTCTCATTCACTCTTGTTAATTAACTGCATCTAATTCAGACCTGAAGGGCCAGATGACTCTTGCTTTACTCATTCCCCTTTGTTCATGGAATGGAAAAATAGGGGAACCCATGCTGGGCTTCTTTCCTTTTGCCTGGAAAGCCAGTTTCAGGATGACATTTGGAACTGGGGAGGTGGTGTGCCGTCACACGTATCCTGACCCTGCTTTTCTGATCCCACATGTCCCGTTAAGACTCCTGTGTGCATCTTCCCCCCATCTTCCCAGGGCCAGTGTGCGGCTTGGGAAGTTGGTGGAAGATGAGTGAGATACAGGGAACGAGGGGTTAACTCTACATGACCTCGGACCCCGTCTTCCCCTCATCTCGTGCTTTTCGGCCAGCCTTCCGGCTCCCTGACCCCCTCCGTCATGGAAGATGAGCCACACTGTGAGCCAGAGAAGCTCGGTGTTACCGGGAATGGAAGGAAGTGGCTGGCTCTTCCTGGGCCCGGAGAGCAGGGGGTTCATGCTGTGCTTGTTTGCAGGCTCAGGTCCACGCCAACATGAGACTGCCGGCGGCCCAGGACCTGCTTCTCCCAGGTACGCCTGCCCTCCGCCCGGAACAGCCTCCCGGAGGCCCGGCCTCTGCGCCACAGCGCCACCCACGGGCTGCTGTGAGCTTCCATTCAGTTAGGCAAGAGACACCCGATTTGGGGTCAAGGATTGAGCTCCATTTGCTCTCCCTCCGGACACTAGCCTGCTGCTGCGGGCAATCCAATCCGCAGGTGGCCCCCGGGCCAGTTGGTGGCACTCCTGCAGGCCTCCCGAGGGCTCTCCAGTGCGCAGACCATGCCCTGGCCCGCCTGGGAACGGGCATCGTGTGTTTGTTTCCGTGGGTTTTCCTGGTCTCCAGGCACATGGGTGAGCCTTAAGCGGATTATTGACTTGAATGTTGCTTCTGGTAAACATCATGCAGGTGACTATCGTTTCCTCTGTCAGCGCAGTCCCTCCCTGGGCTCCCGGTTCCGGAGGCACTGAGTCCTTCGATCCTTAGAACAGAAGCCCTTTGAGCTCTCGGCTGGCTCAGTCACATCAGTAGTCGAGCCTGTGTTTCTGCCCGTCTCATCCCTGATGCCTCGTCATCACTGATTGTCTTCCAGCTTTTCGCATCTGAAGTGTTTGTCCAAGTGTCTGAGGCCCCAGATGATGTTATCTATCTCCAGAGAGGGTTCTTAATAAATATATATATATATATATATATATATATATATATATATATATATATATATATATAAATAAATTGATTTTTCACAGAGAGGAAGGGAGAGGGATAGATAGCTAGAGACATCAATCAGCTGCCTCCTGCACACCCCCTAATGGGGATTTGCCTGCAACCAAGGTACATGCCCTTGCCCGGAACTGAACCCGGCATCTTTCAGTCCGCAGGCCGACGCTCTGTCCACTGAGCCAAACTGGTTTCGGCTCTCCTTTGCTTCTAATACTGGCTTACTAGCCGTCCAGGGCAGGGGCAGAAATGGAAGTTCTGGCCCCCTCCACCCCACCCCAACCCAGGCCCGGCCCTGGCCACCCAGAGGCGGCGCTGGGTAAGGGCGGACTTTCTTCCAGTCTGTGCTCATGCTCAGTGCGCCCTTCAGAGCTCCCGCCCGCGGTGCAGAGGGCTGGCCTGGGGCGGGCTGGGCTCTCCATCTGCTCCTCCAGGCGAGACTCTCGGCCAGAGGCTCCCTCGCCTGGCCCCGCCGCCCAGGCCTTGCACAGGTCACTGCCTGTCCATCGCTGCTGTGCTCCGGCCTGCAGGTGGTCCGCTTGCTTCGCCAGCTCTGGGCTTGTCTTCAGGGAAGGGCTGGCCCACGCCTTCTGCCAACTCCTCCCCCACCCCCCACACCCCCTGGTGGGAAAAGCAGGAACAGCAGCTGTACCTCAGTGCTGTGTGAGAGCAGTGACTCACGCACGTGCAGGCCTCTCGCAAAGCACTTTGGAAGAGCAAGATGGTACTGTTCTGCCTGCAGCTATTTTCTCTCCGACCCCTGTGGACATGTGGCGTCCCTCGCCGTGCCTGCTCACTGACAGTCTTCTCCTCCCATTGCGTCGCCTGCCTCGGTTTCCTCGGGGGAGCTCTCAGAAGTGGCTCTCACTCTCCCTGTCGAGGGTCACACGATTAAACCCAGGCGCCTCGGGGTGGAGTCCCCTCCCACTCCCTGACGTGAACGGCCCTGAGTTACTGCCTAGGTTTCCTCTGCGCTGGCCGCCTCCTCCTCCTGAAACCATCACACAGGCGTGGCCCCTTGAAAAGTCTCCGAATTTTACCTTCGAGAGCCGCCACCTGCCTCAGGGTGGTGGATGGGCAGGGCTCCTGGCCCCGAGGCAGCAGCCGTCCTGTCCGGCCAGGGTGTGCGGTGGGCTGCGGAGAGGCCTCTGAGAAGGATTTTATTTCTCTGTGGAGCCACTGCTTCCAGAATCACCTTTCTCCGCTGGTAACACCCAGTGCTCACGCCTGTCCTATCGCCTCCATGCTGATGGAACATTCCATCCACGCTGCTAACCGGTCCCTTCCCTGCAGGGGGCCCTGGGAGCCGCGGAGAGACGGGGACGGGAGATGCTGAGAAGAAGGACGAAGCCCAGTGGGACCAGCAGCTGCACCAGGAGGCGGGCCCCGGGGCCCCTCGGACCCGGCCGGGGCTGAGCGGGCGGCAGCTGGTGCTGCGGCGGGGGCTCCTGCTGCTGGGGCTGCTGGCCGTGCTGCTGGCGGGCGCCCTGGTGTGGGTGTGCGTCTGACTCAGGGCGCAGGGGAGGCCAGCAAGACTGAGCTCAGCCATTCCAGGCCCAGGCGGGAATTGTCTGCAGGTAAGGCCAGCCAGCCGGGCCCTGGCTCTCAGAACTGGGACCAGATGTAAATATTTTCTAAGGAAGAAATGAGCCGAGGCGACAGCAGCGTCTGGGAAACACGCCGGAGGCCAGTGCACCCACGGCCTCGGCCACGACCACGTGCTGACTGCACTGCTGCGGCTTCGCTCTTCGCTCTTCTCTCCCCGCTTCCATGGCACAAACCCCTGTGCGGAGTGCGGAAGGGGTGCTGTCTGAATTGTTGAAAAGATGTCCCATGTGTCTGTCCTTGTGTGTGAGGTGTTACTCAGTGGGAACGATCCTGTTAATGTTCGTTTGGGTCTGATCTCGGGCCTGAGGCCTTGGAGGCGCTTGAGAATGAAAAGAGGAGACGGTTATTCCGAAGGCGGAGTAGGCCTCCGGCGAGGCGGGGAGGCTGAGCTGAGGCCGCTGGAGCCAGCACTTGGGGATTCTAGTGGTGGGCGCCCGGAGAGCCAGGGCTGGGAGAGCCGGAGGAAGTGGCCTTTCCACATTTGACGGCCGGGATGATAAAGTTGGGGTGACCCCCAGGCAGCGGGCGGCACCCTGTCTCCCTGCGATCAGGAGGTGCCACCTGTTTTCTCCCTTTGGGTGAGGTTCTGAGACCTGGCGGGAGCTGCTCTGAGGGCTCCTCCCCCTCCTCCCTCCGCAGTGCTGGCCTGGCCCAGGGGGCGCTCTCACGGGCATCACCATGGGGGCCGCGGGGAAGTCGAGCTGGATGCCGTCATGGCTGCTGTGTCTGTGGGTTTAAATGTTTATGTTTTTATTCGGGCTGACAGCACGGGAAAGCCCCAGAATGCGAATTGTGTCATGTGATGTTCAGCCAGCTGCCGAAGGAAGTGTGAGACACGCAGGCCTGGCTAGCGAGGGGCGCGAACCTCTTCCCTTAGAGCACGTGTCAAACACAAGGCCCGCGGGCCAAATCCGTCCCGCCAGGCCTTGCAATGTGGCCCGCACCTTGCTGTCATCACTGCACTCCGCTGCGTTTCCATCACAATGACAGTTTATGACCGTTCAGTAAACCATTCGGCCCGCGATTTAGGCTGGATTTTAGATTTTGGCCCCTTCTCTGATTGAGTTCGACACCCCTACCTTAGAGTGCCAGGTGACAATGATGACAGCAGTCCCGCCGTGTGAATGAGCCACAATGGTACTTTTTTACTTAGTCAGATCTGCAAAATATATATTTTGTGTGTGCTGCAGAATCATCGTAATTATGTGCCACGAGATACAAAGGGATGAAAAATCACTGCTTTACAGGGTTGGAGGTTGACGAGGGTGCTATTACCGCAGCTTCAGGTCTGGAACCACTTACTGAGCTGCACTGGCAACTCGGACACTTACCGGGGGCCAGGCCCTGCTTACCGGGGGCCAGGCTCCGCTTACCGGGGGCCAGGCCCTGCTTACCGGGGGCCAGGCTCCGCTTACCGGGGGCCAGGCCCCGCCTACCGGGGGCCAGGCCCTGCTTACCGGGGGGCCAGGCCCCGCCTACCGGGGGCCAGGCCCCGCCTACCGGGGGCCAGGCCCCGCCTACCGGGGGCCAGGCTCCGCCTACCGGGGGCCAGGCTCCGCTTACCTGGGGCCCAGGCTCCGCTTACCTGGGGCCCAGGCTCCGCTTCCCGGGGGCCAGGCCCTGCTTACCGGGGGCCAGGCTCCGCTTCCCGGGGCCCAGGCTCCGCTTCCCGGGGCCCAGGCTCCGCTTCCCGGGGGCCAGGCTCCGCTTCCCGGGGCCCAGGCTCCGCTTACCAGGGGCCAGGCCCCGCCTACCGGGGCCAGGCTCCGCCTACCGGGGGTCAGGCCCCGCCTACCGGGGCCAGGCTCTGCTTACCGGGGGCCAGGCCCTGTTTACTGGGGCCCAGGCTCTGCTTACCCGGGGCAAGCTCTACTTACCGGGGGCCAGGCCCCGCTTACCGGGGGCCAGGCTCCGCTTCCTGGGGCCCAGGATCCGCTTCCCGGGGGCCAGGCCCTGCTTCCCGGGGCAGCTGCTGCGAGGAGTGGGTAGCAGTGAGGGAAAGTGCAGGGGGAGGGAGGGCACTTCACTTTTCCCTCTTGTGGAGTAAACCAAAGAGCTCTGGGTGCATCGCGGCCCACGGCTCCACCCTCCTGCAGAGTCCCGGGGAGAGGCGATGGGATTGCAAGAGGTCCCCGTGCCGCTGCTTTTGGTTGGCAGTTCAGTGGGCAGTTGCCTCTCCTGCATTTCATCCAGGCGTTCAAAGAAGATGAAGAAACTCCTCCTTAATTTTTCCCGGGCTCAGAACATATCCCCCGAGCCCTGGCTGGGTAGCTCAGTTGGTAGAGCACTGTCCTGAAAGTTGCAGGTTCAATTCCGGGTCAGGGCACATACAAGAATCAACCAGCGAATGCATAAATAAGTGGAACAACAAACTGATGTTCCTCTCTCTCAAGTCAATTTAAAAAAACAAAACAAACCCTGTCCCCACGTGAGCTGGGCATGTGCCCCAAGATTATCGGGGGGCCTCAGAAATTTCTCTTTTAATTTACGGTGGCGTGAGCTTGGAATGTGAACTCAATTCCATGCGCAGGCTGTGATGGGGGAGCTGATGTGGGCGAAGGGATATGCCGGCTTCCGCAGAGCTCAGGTTTGGAACCGGGTCTGGATCGGCGGCTGACGCACCAGAGTCCATCAGTAGAGACAAGGTTGAATCTCAGCTGCCGGCGATCGGGCCGGTATTAATAATCCTTCCTGAAAACTCGCTCTCTCGTCTCATCTCACAGACGTTATGGAGGGCTGGAGGGTGGGGAAACCTACAGCTGTGGGAGATTTCAGGGCCTGGTTCTAACTTTGTCCTCGCAAAGATGAGCCCCAGACGTTTGTCCCCCTTCAGCGTGCCTGTCCTTGATCTGCTCTCAAAATGTACCTTCCCTCCGAGTGACGGAGCCACCTGGACTTCAAGGTCAATTTATCTTCGTGCCTCTGTTTTTTTTATCCAAGAGATAAAAATCTCCTATCCATAGGTAGTGCAGTGCCTAGCCATCAATCCCACTATGATTCTGTTCTCATTGTGTACCCTACCCCTATCCTTTCCCTAGTTACCGTGTTTCCCCGAAAATAAGACATCCTCTGAAAATAAGACCTAGCGCAACTTTGGGAGAAAAAATTAATATAAGACACTATCTTATTTTCGGGGAAACAGGTTAGTCTCAACTCTCAGGCCTGTGGGATTGGTTTCACATGGAAAGTGCCTGCTGCCCATGTGCATTAGTCCCGGCCTGCCTGTCTCCCTCCCTCCCTCCTCAGAGGCAGACTGAAATCACTCAGGGGGAGGAGGGAGGACAGTCTGTCTTTAGTAACTGCCTCCTGCCGGCCAGGCTGAGGCCCTGCCTCTACAGGGTGTGACGTCTCCCTGCCTCCCTGAGGGACACAGGGACTGGGGTCAGAGAGGAGAAAAAAAGCTGTCAGCTGACTCTCCCACAGGAGGGACAGGCCGGTCCCCAGAGCATCATCATCTTCATGGATTGCTCCATATTTCATTGACTTAGTTGAAGAATAAATTCATGGGTTAATAGATTTCTTTAATAAAAAATGTATACGTTTATTGGAAGCACATATAAACTCCATGAGGGCAGGATGTCCCCAAATGGAAAAGGCCTGCTTTCCCTCCCTCTCTAATGGGAAAAAATTCAAAACAATCTGAATCTCTCTTTGTCTCCGGGTTTATAAAGGTTGTAGCTCTTTGTCTGAATGTGATCTTCTCTAATCGGTCCCTTTCCTTACTTTGGGACCCCCATGCTCTTCTCATTTGTCGTTTTGCTACATAGCATTACTTTCAAAGCTCAAAGCCCTCGCGGTGCCCTTCACACAGCCATCTTATCTGTTCAGGGTGGAGTTGCTTTTGCTCTCCCTTATGGTTCTCTGTCTGTTGTCCTGGCCAGAGATGTTTTATTATCCCCCTGGCTCTCCTAGCTGCTCCGGTCAGGGCTGCTTTAATTGCTCAGCCCAAAAAGTCTTCTATCCTTTGTGGACCCTTATCAATTATTTGCTAGCTAATTCTTATCAATTATTTACACAAATACTACGAGAATAAATTGAGCTTTAGTCAACCCCTCAGGGCACAAAAGCCAATGTTGCCATCTGGTTTTGTGTGTGATACTTACAGGTTAGGGTGCAATCCTCAAGTTCTTGAGGCCCCCAAATGTCTTGAGGTTCTTTCTTTGCCATCTCCCAGGAAAGCAGCCTTTACCCCTTACCGAGAAAGACTGCCATGAATCATATGAATAAGCATGGTAGCAGGACGTTTTCCCAGGGGCTTCTGTCAGCTTTAAAAACAACCCTCATTTCTTAAAGCTTTCTGGAGACATCTAGATTCCTGGCTTTCTCTCTCAGACATGACATTTCAGTCAAAGTCTTGGTTAATAAACCATAATTGGAAACTGTTTTATGTCCTGTTAAGAAATTAGATTCTTATTGGATTTATGTGAACAAACATATTGCCATGATATTAATAATACTTATTAAAAGTTTTCAAATTATAGAGGGATCAGGAAGAAAGAAAAATATAAGTGCCTCAATATTGTTTATGAAAGTACAATTTACCAAATTGCTTTAAGAAAAGAAGCAAGTTTTCTTATGTCTGGAAAACAGAAAGATAAAAAATCAGCAATATTTAAAAAAAAAAAAAGTTACCAAAACTATAATTATTTTCAGTTCATTCAGTTCCAAAACCAATTTTTGTTTCTCCTGATTTTTATAACTCCAGTTTTAGTTATCTTTGTCCAGTTTAAGGGTATGATCTGAAAATGTATACTTAGAGACATGTAATTTAAAATAAGTCAGAATCCTTTCCTGTTCAGGGTGGAGTTGCATTTTTGTAAATGTATTATAACAAAATAATACTGTCTCTAAATGACAAAGAAAACAGTCTTAAAATGACATGACTTAGAGATCTGACTATAATGCAATTGACATGGAACCCTATCCTTTCTGTAAGACACAACATTCCAGAATAACAATCAGAGTTGTGAATGAAAGTATATCAGAATTTGTAGACCCTTGGAGATTTTTAAAGCCAATTATTATCCAAGCTATTTTCCTGACAGATTTTGTAAGAGAAACGAATAACAAATTTATTTCTGCAGGGAAAGAGAGATTTGTTGTTCCACTTATTTATGAGTTCACTGATTGCTTCTTGTATGTGCCCTGATCGGAGATTGAACCCAGCTCTCTTTTGGTTACTCTGCACAGAATATCTTTCTCTGTCCTCTCATTTTCAGCCTACTTGTCATGTTGTCAGTCACTTTGTCATTAAAGTGAGTCTCCTATAGACAGCATATAGTTAGGTAATGCTTTTAATCCATCCTGTCAATATCTGTCATTTTTATGAGATTTTAAAAATATATATGTTTTTATTGATTTCAGAGAGGAAGGGAGAGAGAGAGAAACATCAATGATGACAGAGAATTATCAATTGGCGAACTCTTGCAAACCCCTACTAGGGATCTAGCCCACAACCCATGT